TCCGTGTCCCCCCGGTCCCGCCGCCGAGCCCCCCCGCGCTGAGCTCACCTCCGGTCTGTCCCCTCCCGCAGGCTCCGAAGCTGGCCGAGACCTACTGTGTGTGCCACCTGGCAACTGGGGACATGCTGCGGGCCATGGTGGCCTCGGGCTCCGAGCTGGGCAAGAGGCTGAAAGAGACGATGGATTCAGGGAAGCTGGTGGGTACTGGGCAGGTGGGCTGGGAGGGCAGGTGGGCTGCAGCACCTGGAACGAGAGCAGTCAAAAGCCACCTGTTAATTAAAGGCCTCAGTGACAAAACCCAATTAGTGGTGGAAGGCAAATTGTAGGGTGAAGCTAAGGGTGGGTGTTCTCATGATCCTACAGGAAAAACACCCTATGAAAACATCCATGTACTTGAACCTGCTCCTTGTTTAGCAGCAGGTTCCATCCCAGAGCCTGTTTGGAGGTGCAGGTTTGTCCTTGGAGCTGCAGGATGTTGTCATTTCATGTGATGTCTGGACCCCCGTGGGGGTGGAAGAGTTTGTCCAGAGGGTTCACCTACATCCCAGTTCTTGCATAAATGCTCTTTGCTTGTAATTGTGAGGTGAAATGGAGGGGGGGTTGCTGGGGTATTTGCAGTGAGTGCCACATAGCACTGTGTGAAAGGGACACTTTGGATCCCCAAGGGACAGGAGTTGGGTTCTCTGACTCATTCCATTTCTAAGGATCTAATTATGTTGCCAAAATGACTGAAATATCTTAGGGGGGAAACTGGAAAGACACCAAATTGCAGCATTTTGCCTCAAGGCTCAGCAGTGCAGGGCAGATCTTGGGTATTGCTCCTGGCTGCTCCATGCCTGGAACACCCCAGGGAGCACCTGCAGGGCTCTGGGTGAGCAGAGCAACGTGGCTTATCTCCAGTTTTTGCTCAAAGCTTGTATTGCAACACCAAGCCTGCAATATCCCAGCTGGTTATGAAAGATAGGGACGTTATCTGGTGAGGCTGGTGGTGTCTGCCAGGTGTATGTGGCCACCAGCACCAGCTGCTCCTCAGGGGGATCCCAGTAACCTCCTCTGGCTCCCCGATAACTCTGCTGGGAGCACAGCAGCACTTGGAGCCTGGGTGGGTTTTTATGCTTGATTAGGAAGCAGGATCCCTTTCTCTGAAAGGGGTAATCAGGAAAGCACAGCAGGGACTTGCTGCTTCACCCAAATTGCTACCAGCTCTAGAGTTCTTGTTTATGTCTGCTGGGACAGTCTGATGCCAAATCCTGCTGGGTCCCAGCTGGAGCCAACAGCACTGCTGAGGGGAGCTGCTCTGGAATAAACACCTATTGTTGGGGCTGCAGCATCTGTCAGTGCTTTTCCAAATGCTGCAGGGTAGAAAAGGAACTAATTCCAGCAGGATACAGGAAAAACTGCCCAGTGAGGCCAGAGCTTGTTAGTGACTCTGGAGCATTTACCCTCACGTGAGGTTTATGAGACTCAAGGAGCAAATCACCTTGTCTGCCCTTCCTGGCCAGGCCTCCCTGCAGAGGGAGATGTGTGGGTGAAGGTACAAAGTAACAGGAAATAAAGATTATGTCACTATTTGAATACTTTATTTAATTTTTACTAAATGTAATTTATATTATAAATAATCATATTTAACACTGGCAGTGTTGAAGGGCAGGTTGGATGGGGCTCTGAACAACCTGTTCTGGTGGGAGGTGTCCCTGCCCATGCAGGGGGTTGGGACTGGATGAGCTTTAAGGTCCCTTCTAACCCAAACCATTCTGTGATTCTATTTTATATTGTGAATTATTTTAGTTGTTTTTTTTTTAAATAATCTAGAGAGTTTGTCTTCAGGCTGATGGGCTGCCTGGAAATGCAACAACCTTTGTAACAGTGGGGTTGCAGCACAGACTGGAGTGTCCCTGGTGTGAAATGTCCCAGTAGCCACATCTTGGTGTTGACATCCATGGCAGGGAACACTCCCTGGCACAGGCAGGTTTTGTCCTTTTCCAGCAGAGTCCTGCTGCCTCTGGGACCAGGAAGGGCTGTGAAAAGGGCACAGGGATGGGTATGGCAGCTGTGTATAAAATTGGGGTGTCCTTCCTGACCTGGCACCCGTGTCCTCTCCTCAGGTAAGCGATGAGATGGTGGTGGAGCTGATTGAGAACAACCTGGACTCCCCTCCCTGCAAGAACGGCTTCCTCCTGGACGGCTTCCCGCGCACGGTGAAACAGGCTGAAATGGTCCGTGAGCTCCTGGCCAGGGCCTGGCACCTCCTCCAGCCCTCACCTCTGCCTCTGCCCCTCTCAGCTGGTGTTTTCTCTTGCAGCTGGATCAGCTCCTGGAGAAGAGGAGAGAGAAGCTGGACTCGGTCATCGAGTTCAGCATCCCTGACTCCTTGCTCATCCGGAGGATCACTGGACGGTAACTCCTCTCTCCCAAACGCTCAAGTGCACAGGGTGGGGTTTCCTGGTTTAGGGGAGAGCACCCTCATTTGGGCTCCTGGTGTCATTCTTGCACTGTTTAGGGTTTGCTGCCCTGCTGGGCTGTTAGATTCCTGCTCTGTTAGAGCCCTTCTGCCTTGATCCCTTCCCTGCTGTCCCTTCCCTTCCAAGCCCCTTCACTGCCCTATGAAAAGGGGTTGTTGATATGAATCATTGTCCTTGGTGACCCAGCTCAGCCTTTAGTCCCCCTGTCTGACAGCTCATGTCTTCATCCTCCTGCTCTCTGGAGCCTATTCCTGCTTCCTTTGGCAGGGAACACATTTGGGCACTGCTGACCCTCCTGTCTGGGGTCAGCTGTGACCACGCAGGCACACACAGACATCTCCCATGGTTTGCTGTTGTCCTGGGTCATCTTCAGACCTCAGGAGCAAGCTCCAGCAAAGCACCAGATAAAACCTCTTCTCCATCTCCTAGCACAGCTGCTTTTTTGTTGTTTCTTTTTTGTTGTTGTTCTTTCAAGTGCCTAAAGAGGTCCTTGGGACAGAAATAGCTAGAAGAGATTTTTTTTTTTCTTAAAAGAGAGAGGCTAATTGCGTTGGTGTTGCAGATGTTTCTGTGCTGATGAGTGGCAGGTTCAGAAGAGCTTGTCGTGGCTGCTTTGCTGACATCTGCTTTCTGTCCTAGGCTGATTCACCCGGCGAGCGGCCGCTCGTACCACGAGGAGTTCAGACCCCCAAAAGAGCACATGAAGGACGATGTATGTGAGCTCCCAAGGCTGCAGCTTACGTTGCTTTGGGCTTAGCTGATGCTTTGCAGCATCCCTGGGAAAAAAAAACAAACAAACCCACCTCATTTCTTCTGTCTT